CTCATGTACAAAGACTTGAGTGGATTTCTTACTGAAACATGGCGTACGATCAAACTATATATAATATCCAGATGTATCAATGTGTGCGAACGCATGAATCCAAGCACATTTCCTTTGTACATCCCAATCAACGTGGAATTGAGCTCACATGTCGAAGTACCCGACTCCTCCCTGTCCACGCCCCTACTTATATGCAATATGCAAATAATATTTAAATGAGCCCTGCACCTGCGATCCCCCTCTCTGCATGATCAGAAAAGATAGAAAAAAGGAATGAGTAAGATGGTAAAAAAAGAGCTTCAGCGAAAGCGAGATGGAAGTGCTACTTTCAGAAGTGGAGGCACGCAAAAATGTGCTATTTGGCACGTTATCAGGAATAAGCAGCAAACGCTGCGCTCCAACGCCGGCCGCAGCTCTGCACATAGTTCGAGGAGGATTGTCCTCGGGAACCTGAAGCGGCTGATGAGTCCTCATGTGCAAGCAAATCCTCTCCGTCTCTAAATTTGCGCTCTCTCCTTAGAGAGTAGTGCTAAAGCAGCCATTGTTTTAATAGTATGCATTGCACCACTTCATGCATGCTTTTATATCCACTCGTGTAATTGCAGACACGTGTTAATTGTTCGTGTGTCTCAGATGTGCACATCACTCAGTCTGAGGACAAATTAAACATTTATTTATTATTAGTTTCCCAACATCACCTGTAAGTGTCGCCAAAGAATCGACAGCTGTAGAAAAGGGCGTCAGCCCTGAAGTTGGCGTGAGGCAGCGCACATTTCCAGTCATTTGGCTCTTGATACATCTGATCGTTGACGTGAAAAAGTGCGTCACTGTACGCACCCTTTGTACATGAGGCCTCTGGTCTCTTGGCGGCCCACAGGTGTATTGTTGGAGAAAGTGTCAACAGTCACTCCTATTAGTCGTCTTCTTCTCCACTCCATTTCCAAAAGCTCTGATGATGAAAGACCTGTATTGAAGAGGGTGTCCATCGAACACAGGAATGTTTCTGACAGGAAGGACAGAGCATAGATTTTGCTGAGCCAGCAGAGCAGAGATTTCCTTTTGCCTCTGCATAACATTTACTATGTCACTCTGATAGCTCTCAGTAAGACCTTGTATATGAGGTTGCACTAATCGTGCTTGATAACAAAGCAATGACACATTTTTCATCCATTTTAACTGGAGGTTTTGGTATGGGGGTTGAACTGGCTTGCTTTCCTCTAAAGGTAAGTTCATAAACGATGCATGCATGTCATTTGCGTCTTAGCAACACTTGATGAACTTCGTAAGCTCAGCATTCACTGACTTGAGATTTTCATTGATGCCATTAACGCAAGTAAGTTCTCAAAGTTCTCCATCCTTGGCTTGTTTATATCTTCTGTTCCTTTCCGCTGATACATTTCGGTGAAGAAGTCCAAGCTTTTAGAAGTAAATTTAGTTTGTCTTTTTTCTGCCATTGTCTCAACGTCGCTTGCCGTTCGTACGTCAGACATTTTGAATGCTTGCTCTTGTTTAACATGCAGGCGGAGTGCAAGAAAAACGGCAAAATGTGGTTATTTTCCGATCCAGTCCATTTCTAACAATAATCCCCATCGTAGCTTCTGAAACTTCAAACATTTCCATCGCTGTGGTTACGACTTTTGAATCTCACTCATTCAGCCGTTTTCCTTTCCAGCAGTCGTATCACATACACGATTTACTCTCTGACGTTTACCTTACTGGGCATTTAGCTTTTATCCAAAGCGACTTAATATTTAGGAATATATAACTAAATTATAACTGCAAATGAATAGCTCCCACACATACACAGCATCTCATCTGTATGTATCTGATTCTATTAAGTTTGATCTTACTTTATAAGGTTAATAACATGTACTTTCCCCTCTTTAGTAAACCGGACCCCTGATGACTCCTTCGTCCTTAAATGATCATGTTACAACATTAACAATGTGGCATATTATATCTGCTCAACAGCTACCAGGAAGAACTGCAGAGAGAATCTACCACACTGCAAAGCGTATCAACAGTATAAGTATGTATTTAATGTGTTCTAGTTGACTCTACATGGACCATCATTTACTAAATGAACATCATGCTGTACTGGAGAAGACTTGAAACTAGAGCCTGAGACTATAAACTCATGTTTACAATGTTTACTGACGGAATAAATCAAGAGAGAAGTAGAGTCATTTCCTCATAGACGTCTATGGGAGCAGAGGAGTCGCCCCCTGCTGGTCACTACAGAGAAGTAGAGTCATTTCCTCATAGACGTCTATGGGAGCAGAGGAGTCGCCCCCTGCTGGTCACTACAGAGAAGTAGAGTCATTTCCTCATAGACGTCTATGGGAGCAGAGGAGTCGCCCCCTGCTGGTCACTACAGAGAAGTAGAGTCATTTCCTCATAGACGTCTATGGGAGCAGAGGAGTCGCCCCCTGCTGGTCACTACAGAGAAGTAGAGTCATTTCCTCATAGACGTCTATGGGAGCAGAGGAGTCGCCCCCTGCTGGTCACTACACAGAAGAAACAACAACATCAAATAATATATTTATTAGGCATAAAACTCACATTAGGAAGTAAATGTTTTTGAACTTACATTCAAAAAATGGTAGCTTGCAGCTCTTTGTATTTACAACATTTACTATTATTTTATATATATTTTTAAAGATATCATGTAGCTTGTTTAAAATACACATTCTGGTTAAATAACCATAGTATAATTCATGTTAAGCCACTTCCTTTGTGACTGAGCTTTACTACCAGTGGTAATCTCCCACAACACATCTGTTACACATCTGCTCCAAAATTAGAGAAACATGTGGTGATTTCCATATATTGCATGTCAATTTAAAGGGTCTATTTTGGACTATTGTTAACACTCTGATAGTCAAATTCAGACACTTTAAGTTGAGCCAAGTTCTCAACTTGTGATGCGACTTCAGTCAAAATGATGAATCAATAGAAGCATATTGGCAATATTGGTAAAGACTATTTGCAGATAAATGTACCTGAAGATGCTTGTATAGAACTGGTAGTAACATATTGCTGATTAGTAACATTTAAAGGCTGATTACAGACTACAAGCTGGCCTCCCATTGGCTCCCTGATGCTTCTCTGATGGAAGCCTTAACGATGGTGAATATACAACATGTCAAACCTCATATTCATGCAGGTGTGTTTAAGCTGCTTAAACTCTGTACAGTAACAGACCACATATCTGTGTGGGTTCATTCTCTTGGTGCTTTGCTGACGGTGCTGTACAGAGCAGAAGAATCATCCACAGCTCCTTCACATCTCCGTCTGTGAAAGAACCGTAAACTCAGAATATTAATCATTAACACGTTTAAACAGCAATAAAACAGTGATGATAAAAGCAGAGACGGATCCATGTTCAGTAAAGATTGTCACTGACTCACTCGCTGGCAGCACCAGAACTCTCAAAGTTGACACCTGAGTACAGAACTTCCTCCACCTCCTCCTTGCGTCTGTGGGGGCGAGCTGGACTGACGTTGGAGTAGAGAAGAAGATCCTCCTGGTTTCTGGAGAAGCTCACGGTAGCATAGCAAGGCTCCGCTGGTGGGATCTGCATCAAAGAAGAAGAAGTACTTATTGGATAGTATTGTTGGACTGAAGTACAAAGGACCAGATAGTAGAATATCTGCAGGGCTTGTTCTCTAATGACTCCTTTGGGCCCTACAGGTTCTCATGGAGGTCTCATGTGTTTAATGGTTGTAATTAAGGTCATTGAGGTTAATGAAGTTCCATCTACAGACTGTCATCGTGTGTCTGGGGATACTGTGCACGCTGTGTACAAGAAGGACACGCACACAGATTCATTAAGAACATTAAGTACAACCAGAGTGTACGTGGATATAGTTTGACTTTTTGGAGATAAACAGGATTAAAATATCTAGTGCAGAGGTGTCAACCTCATTTTAAGTAGGGGGCCACATACTGCATACTGGTCCGGTCGACGGGGGGTACGGATTGTCCGTCATTTTCAAGCGGGGTGCCGACAATTTTTTGGCTCACAAGCTACTCGTTCAACTTTTCTCTTCCAATTAATGGCCATCTACACCCAACGTGCAGTAGCAGTAACCAAACAGAACATCAGCGCTGCAGAAGAATCGGTATAAAAAAAAAAAAACGAGCCTCTCATCTGTCAGAATTGAGGGAAGTGTCACAACTAACGTTAACTTATTCTTGGTCTTTACCTTACTTGGATGATTTGCACCCAAGCCTAGTTTATGCTTCTGCGTTTTCAGAGAGACACAAGGACACGCAGACGCAAGAGCCCCTTGCGTGTCCTTGCGTGTTGTTGCGTGTCCCTTGCGTGCGTTTTCACACCTCCTTGCGTGCTGTCATGCGTCGACCCAGTAGAAATACTAGTAGTAGTAGTCATAGTAGTAGTAGGCTACTACTAGTTGTAGCAGTAATATTAGTAGTTGATGAAGTATTAATAGTAGTATGAATACTAGTAGTACTTTTTATAGTAGTAAGAGTAGTACTATAGTAGTTGAATCATGCGATTTCGACCACTATATCGACGGTCTCCGGCTCATTCCAGAGATCTCCAAGATAGCGGTTGCTACCAACCCGGCTACGTCGACCGTGCTCACAGGCGGCGTCGAGGCCGTAAACAAAGGCGGGGGAAGCGAGGAGGGCTACGAGCTAGGCTAAAGCTAACTCCTCACCGGCTTGCCCTACCCAGCATTTTCCTCGCCAATGTTTGGTCTCTGGCGAACAAAATGGATGGACTGCGGCTGCGGATCACCACTCATAAATGAATTATAAACTGCAACGTCATGATTTTCACGGAAACATGGCTCAACAGCGGCGTTCCCGATAGCGCCATCGAGCTAATGGGGCGCTACATCCTCCGGGCGGATAGAACAACAGAGGACTATACATCTATGTGAACAATGCTTGGTGTACGGACACTGCTATCATGGAGAGACACTGCTCTGCTAACCTTGAGTATCTCATGGTTAGGTGTAGACCGTTCTATCTGCCCAGGGAGTTTACATTTACTGTTGTGACTGCAGCTTATATCCCCCCGGATGCTAATGCTAAACTGGCAATGAAAGAACTGCATACTGCCATTAGCAAGCAACAGACTTTACATCCGGAGGCAGCCTTCATTGTTGCGGGTGACTTTAACCACTCCAACCTGAAGACTGTACTCCTCCACCAACATGTCTCCTGCCCCACGAGAGAAGACAAGACTTCGGACAAGGTCTATACCAACATGGCTGATGCCTACAAGGCAGCCCCCCTCCCCCACCTAGGACAGTCTGACCACCTCCCCTTGTTTCTTCTCCCGAAATACACACCACTCATCAAACGTGTGAAACCCACAGTGAGGACAGTTAAAGTGTGGCCAGAGGGAGCAGACTCTGCACTACAGCTTCGGTTCGAACACACGGACTGGTGTGTGTTTGCCACTCAGGCCACACTGGACTCCCACACGGACATAGACTCCTATGCCTCTTCCGTTCTGGACTTCATCAACACCAACATCGACCGTGTCACCACACTTAAACGAATCACCACCTTCCCCAACCAGAAGCCATGGATGAACAAAGAGGTCCGCCTACTGCTGATCAGGTGATGCTCAAGCCTACAGTTCATCCAGGGCTGACCTGAAGAGGGGCATCAAGCAGGCCAAGCACTGCCACAAGCTAAGGATTGAGGAGCACTTCAAGAACAGCTCCGACCCCCGTCGCATGTGGCAAGGCATCCAGGCCATAACAGACTACAAACCCACCAACACCATCCCCCAAAACAATGATGCCTTCTTCCCTGACGAGCTTAACAGCTTTAATATGCACGCTTCGACAGGGACAACCAGGAGGCCGCCACCAGGGCTGTGCTCACTTCAGACCACCAGCCCCTCACACTCTCCTCCACCGACGTGTGTGCTGCACTGAGCAGGATTAATGCACAGAAGGCTGCTGGCCCCGATGGCGTCCCCGGACGCGTGCTCAGGGCCTGTGCTGGGCAGCTAGCTGAGGTCCTGACTGACATATTCAACCTGTCACTAGCCCAAGCTACTGTCCCCACGTGCTTTAAAACCACCTCCATTGTGCCAGTGCCAAAGCACTCCACCGCAGTGAGCCTAAATGACGTCCACCCAGTTGCACTCACTCCAACCATCATGAAGTGCTTCGAGAGGCTGGTCCTGGCTCACCCCAAAACCTACTTACCACCCACACTGGACCCCTTCCAATTCGCCTACCGCAAGAACAGGAGTACGGAGGATGCCATCAGATGATCTGCAATCATTGTTGTATACATCTTGTTATATGTATTTCATAGAAGAGACATGTGTTTATTAAGCAATTGATGTATTAAAGTAATGACAGTTTATGAATAGAGAAGTTTGTTTTCATTCTGGTCTATTCGTCACACTTCCATCCAAAATCGAACAGTTAGGCCCAAGAGGTCGAAGGGCCCTGATGATAAGAAATAATGTTGGTCAAATGCTGCGGTATAAGGAAAATTACTTGTATGGCTTTATGGCATTCAGACATTTTGACTCTAGAATATTAAAGAACAATAAAGAAATGAATTCATTCGTCATTGCCTCCATGTTACCTTTCACGTGACCCTCAGAGTGATCTCTGGAGCTGTGGATGGATCCCACAGTCAGGCTGGAATTGGGTTGGGAACCATTGCAACAGACTAGCTGCTCTTTAGCATGTTGGACACACAACATGCATGTATTTCCCGCCAAATAACACTGGTCTGCTGAAGCCTGATTTGGGAGGAGGGTTTTAAAACTGTGAAAACTGTGACGTGAACTGAGATAAACATGTCCCTTAATATGTAGATAAGATTTTAGTTCAGTGACACTTGAATGTAATTTAGTAGAAGAAAGGAATATTTGGACCGGTTGTCTCCAGTGGCACAACAACTGAGCACAACATGCCAACAGGGAAACATGGTGGTCATGGCATCATTTCACATTCTATATTTGACCTTTTTACAAGTACCAGAAAGACATAAATATAACATGTGCTGATGTCTTCTGGTAACACCAATCAGGCATTTGAGTCCATCTTGAAAAATTGTGGCAAGTTATTGACGGCACTGTCCAGCCGCACAATAACATCTGTGAAGCACATTCCATCTCTGCAGCTTCCTGAGCACTTTGTTGGTGCCAAAGTGAGTCCACCTCTTGTTCTTACCAATCTGCAGCTACTGATGCCTCCGGCTTCGCTGGCCCAGTAGCTACTACTTCTCTTCCTTAAAATAGGAATTGAATGTTTAACAATAAAAATGTCTCTGTGCAATCGAGAAGCTGTCCTTGGATCAGGCTTTGAGGTGGAACTAACATGGACACCATCAGTGATAACTTAAGGCTTTTTTTTTTCAAAATAGTAACAAATCTGACGGCAATAAAACTGAAGTAATTTTCTTTGTAACACGTGATCTGCAGATCACATTGTAACAGACTGACATGTTCTGTGAGGAAGTTACACATTAAGAGTTTGTCCTTAATGGAATTTCTTCCCTTACATTACTTTTATACTTTAAGTAGTGTTGAAACCAGTACTTTTATACTTTTACTTAAGTAAAATTCTTCGTTTTAAACCCTAGTATCTATACTTCTACTTGAGTAATGAATGTGAATACGTTTGACACCTCAGGCCTCCCCACTGAGCTCTTCCTCCTCACCTCATTGTTGTCTGGTCTCTCTGCAGGCCGGCTCCTTTTTCTTGGTTCAGAAGAATGAATGAACAAACAAATGAATTATTAAATCAAATGATTCAACAACTGCGTGAATGTAAGACCCACATCTGCATTTTATCACAGTGAAGCTGAACGTTCACCTGATCAAGAGGAAGGCAGCGAGGATGATGATCACCAGCAGAATAACAGATGTAAACGCAACAGCTGTTGTTTTTGACCATGAGGAGCCTCCTTTTTCTCCACAGGAAACACAAAGAACAGGGTCCAGAGTTAATATCGTCGACGTTAACTTCGTTAACGGTGGCGGTGCAGCGGTGCTTCTTGTGCACCGACTACGGACCGCGACGACTATTTTACGCTTCGGCGAGTTTGAATGTGGCTTCGTTAGTTTAGCTCAGCTGTCTCGGGTTAGCTGCCTGTTAGCAGGCTGTTAGCTGCCTGTTAGCTGCCTGTTAGCTGCCTGTTAGCTGACTGAAGCCGCGCTGCTTCACAGAAACATGAAGACGCGTTTAAAGACCGTCGGACCTTTCTGCTCTGTTCTCTGGCGACGGCAGGCAGCGTTTCCTCGCTGGATGAGACGCTCCGTCACAAACACGCGTTTAATGTAATAAACTCATTGCAGGTTCTGAAGCCAAGAAAATAATGTATTGCAGCGATTGTAGGACGTTAAGGTCTCTCTTGTTGGGACAGTGGAAACAACAAAGGACCATGAAGTGTCAAAAGCATCGCAAGTAAACAAAGACAACAAAGTGTTGCGTTTAGGTCCCTGGTCCTCATCAAGTTGTTACCTTTGCCAATTTGTTAAATTGCCTTGCAAATAAATGCTTTGCTATTTGTTAAAATCCAAATCCTTTCATGTAATGTTTCACACGTCATTTATATCAGCTCACACAAACACTTCAACCACTTGTTCTTCTGTACTAAACTAAAACAATTACATTTTAGTCTAGTTTTCGTCGACTAAAACTAAGGATTAAAATGACTAAATGTGACTAAAACTAATAGGCATTTTTCGTCTAAAGACTAAGACTAAATCACAAATAGCTGCCAAAATTAACACTAGTCCAGGGTTTGATTCTCAGTGGGGTCATAGTGTATCTGCTCAGGTTCACCTTCTAGTCCACAATGCTCTCCTGCTTCACTGAGTGGAGGACAGGAGCTAAAGGCCGCGTTTACTGTGAGTCACTTCTTTAGTTGGATTGTTGATGTAATGTGTGAGTGAACAGAAGAATGAGTGTGATTTACCTGAAGAAGTAATCCGAAGTAAGGTGGAGTTACTACGTCCCATCTCGTTCTGGGCTTCACAGTAATAATTCCCACTGTGTTCAGCTGTGAAGTCAGTGATGGTGAAGATCTGTCCTGATGCTCGTGGTGAGTCTTCATGCTCCTTGTACCAGGTGTAGTTAGCTGCTGGGTTAGCATCAGTGCTACAGGTCAGAGTCACTGAATCGCCCTCCAGCATCTCAGCAGAGGGACTCACTGACACAGAGGGACGCTGTGGACCATCTGGAGGAGACGTGTCAACATATTGTTACAAGTTAGAGTTCAATAAATAGAAGTTGATAACAAAACACTACCTCAGTAGTGATGTTGTTGCTTTTAAAAAGGTTGTTTCACTCACATTTCACATCGATAGAGATGAATTCAGACGTCTTCCTCCCCAGCTGGTTCTCAGCTGTACAGGAATAATTTCCAGAGTCAGAGGACTGGATGGAGCTGAAGACCAGCTGAGGTTCTTCACTGAGAAGACGAGGGTCTGACGTTCCATCCTGCTTGTACCAGGTGTAGCTAGCTGCTGGGTTAGCATCAGCGCTACAGGTCAGAGTCACTGAACCGCCCTCCAGCATCTCAGCAGAGGGACTCACTGACACAGAGGGACGCTGTGGACCATCTGGAGGAGACGTGAATAAACATACTAAGAGGTTAGAAGATGTTAGCGTAGATAGTTGATCATTTGAATGAATACTTGTGTGTCTTTCTCTCAGACTATCTCTAGTATTCATCACAGCAGCTGTCACAGGTGAGACTCCTGCTGGTGTAAAGTGACAATAAGCAGCCTTTAATCCTTTGTAATGTTCATATCTCCACACATTCTTCTCTTTAGATGCTGCTTGTGTCCTTAGCTGAGTCTGTCCTCTCACTTCTAGTTGTTGTAGGAGTTATTGATTGTTTCCTCCACCAGCTGACACGTCACTTCTACTTATGTTCTGGAATAATTCACTTGAGTCTTTATGAAAATCACATTATTCTGTCTGCTGATGGTTTATATTTGTGTTTCTATTAATAAGAGAATGACATAAATAAAGATCTGTGTCTCCTTTAACATTTAGACTCCAGTGTGTTTACAGCTGTGATTAGAATCATATTGTTGTGTCAGTGTGTGAGTGACTCTTCTACACATAGACTGCAGGGGCCGGGGATTGAACCAGCAACCCTCTGGTCAGTGGACCACGGCTCCACCTCCTGAGGAACGTTGTGCTTCATCTTTTTGATGCCTCTAGTTTACATGCAGCGGTCTGGTGCCTCCATGTGAGATGTTGGTGAAGCTCCACAGGCCGACACAGTGGAGTGAACTTACACACTGCAGGAGAACCGTGACTATAAGATCCTCTTAAATTACAGGAATATCTGTCTGTAGAACCAGAGGAGACTGGAAGAGAAGATCCTCTCTTGATGTTCTCTTCATTCTTGTACCAGACGTATTCAGGACGATCAGACAGAACACAGCTGCTGTGACACGTCAGCTCCAACCAGGTAGAAGCTGATCTTCTCACCTGCACCTGGAGACCTGAATCAGTGAATATTATTTATCAAAGTGTCAACATTCACAGAAGACATTTATACTCTAGTTTTCTAGATGTTGAACATTTGTAGATGATTAATATGTGAATTAAAATGTTACCTGTGACAGACAAAGTGACTCCAGGTGAACCAGTATATTTCTCTCCTGGTTCGTTTGTCATGAATGTGAATTGTACTCAGCTGAGTCGCTCTCTCTCACGTCTGTGATGGTCAGATAACAACTCTTACTAGAACATCTGTACTCCACACGGCCTGAATACTCAGAGTCTGTTTTCAGATCCACAGGTTCACCATCTTTCTCTTTAGTGAACCAGAATCTGTCTTTTATATCAGAGTAATATATTCCAGGTGGGGGTGTGTAGCCACAGCTTATTTTCACTTCTGATCCTTTTGCAGCACAGATGTCAGTCTGATGGTAATTCACTCTCCATCCATCCTGACTCTGTATCACTGTAACACAGCACATCAGGAACCACAGTCACACTCAGAACAACATCACAGGACACACTCTCATTGGTAGTTTACTGAAGAGAATTATGAGAAATATGAAAATCATTGAGTTTATAGAAAGTAATGAAAGAGTCCACGATGTCCACATGGACTCTGCAGCTGGAAGGAACAGCGACGTATTGAACCTGTGGACCTGAAAAAGCTCAAGTTGAAGTATTAGAAGGGTTTGGTTGATGAGAAGAAGAGTGTCTTTGCTCTGTGCTCTTCTGTCTGTGGTCAGTCTGCTGCAGAGTGGAGATGGAAACTGTAGAGAAATGCAGAACTCTGAGGGGAACGATACTGTGACATATAGATTAGTAGAATATGAACGGCACCTTTGGGGGGAAAGTGTGAAAATACACGTGTGTCTGTTCAGGCAATTTGGCCACCATTTTGACACAATTGACATAAGCTTTTAGCTGCATTCTTTAATCAAACAATGGACGACTATGGTAACCATGGTAACCACGGGGGCAGATGCATTTTCCGGTCGAAACCACATCGAATGCCCAGATACCTTTATTAACACACGTATGATTAATTAAATCACCCCTCTGCACGCCAACGCCTTTGACCCTTGTATGATAACATGCAAAATAATAGGATGTGCCCTCACACACACACACACACACACACAAACAAGACACCGCCCATATTCGCTCAATTTTTGACAAAATGGCGGCACGGAAACTCACATTTTCACACCTCCCCCCCTAACGTGACAGTTATGTGCTGATTAGATCACACGTCACTGATAAGAAGTGTTTTAAGACTCGACTGGCTTTCAAAAGTCAACAAAAAATAAGAAATAGAATTTTCCAAAACAATATTTGTCTAAAACCACAGAATGTGACTTTTCAGCATCCGGCAGTGAATCAATTATCTGTGACACGGATCAAAGCTACAAAATGTCCCTCAAAGAGACACTGAACAACCAGGAAGAGAATAAAAATGACCACAAATACACAATAAAATGCTCCAAAAAGAAGAACAGACGTCGTCAGAGACTCGGAGTGAATAACAGCCTCTAAATGTGGTCTAATGCAAAGAAACGCTGCTGAACGATTAGAGGAAGTTCAACAGAGACAAATTATTCAGAGCATTTCTTCTTTGTTAATGTTCATTTAGTCATTATTTGTGTGTGATGACATCAGACCTGTGTGTGAAGTAAAAACACAGCTCCCTGTGTGTGTGTGAGGTGTGTAACGGCCTCACAATATAAATGTAGAAGTACAGTACCTTGTACAGAGAGAAGGAAGACGACTAATCCACCGGCTGATGGACTCATAGCTGCTCCTCTGTGTTCAATCAGCAGATCAGAAACTCTTTATTCAGTAAGTCACCAGAAACACGTCTACATTAAAGAGGAGGCTGATGTCTCTGAGGTCAGCTCGTCTCTTCTGGAGTTGGTAACAAGCTGCTGTTCAACACCCAGCAGAGCTTCCTTCTCCTTTCCGTCATTAGTATGCATGAGCTGCAGAACCAAGAAGCTGCTTTAATGTTAACGTCTTACTTCTGCTAAAAGGAAACATCATAAAAGTGTTGTTAATATGTGAAGATCATCTTGATGAACCCTGTAAGCAGCATAAACGTCTCTTCATTCTCTGTAATAATTCACATTAAGTGAAAGGCTGCAGTGTGACGTCCTCCTGTTAACATGTAGATAAATATGTCCTCTCTGCAGCTCTTCATACGTCTTCCTCACATTCACTGCAGGACACAAACAACACAAACAAGCTGTCAACTCACACAAATGTTGCTTTATTCATTTATTGTTCACACATTTCCATTACAATATGAAAGTGTCTGAAAGTTGCTCTGAAGACCTTAAATGTTAACAACACCTCATAGTGTAAATGTACAAAAGAGATGAAAAATTGATTGCTAGTATCTATATTTTTCTCTTTTCTTACATTTCCTTGTATGTTACGTGTGAGATGCAGTGTCTCAAACAAAAAGGGGTCCGATGGAACTCAGCTTGTGGTGCTCAGAGCTCTAAAAAGAACCCGTGTGAAGCCCTTAAGACTTTCACCCAGAACAAGGACACGTGGCCGATGGGTGCTACGTCCCCTTTAAGGGGCAGCAGCCATCCTACAAGATGGAGGCCAC